TAGAAGTTCTCACTTCGAAAATATTGTTTTTTTCATGAGTGCAATTGTGATCGAAATTTGTATTTCAGCAAGCAGGTCTGAATTAGAGAACACGAAATTTGAATCAAGGATTTCTTTCATTCTACACACTGTATATATCAATATAACCCTTATATCAGTAATAGCAGTGTGAATTCGTAAGAATGAAGATATTTGAAACTAGGCAATCGTCTACGTATATACCCTATACAGAAAACACGAAATTTCTATTTATAGCCATCTGAACTTGATAAAAAATCTTGCACACATTATTTCTGAATTACACAGACTATTTTGAGTATTTTGCCCTGAACAATGATTTCGATCCCCATCCTTGGAAGTTTTTCTGGCGACGCCAATAATGATAAGTTATATTAGTAGGAAATGAAATTAAAAAGGAAAAGAAATATTCGAAAGACTATTTGTGAAGACAGTTTCAAAAATGACTCATGACATAAATTTTCATTGTAGCGAGATATAGGTATTTGCTTGACTTGAATGGAGTGAAAAGTGGAATCATGTTGAGCAGGCCCGTGGAGCAGTAGCTCTGGCAACACTGCACGTACATAATACAATTACCTACGATTGCATTCAATTGTGTGCCACCTATTGGTGACCTGCTGTAACAGACGAAATCGAAGAACTCTACAATAGCTGTGAAAGCTGTAATTCAATTATTTTATTCCGATTTCGACATCACACTGACACCTAGAAATAGTTGTTGAACTAGTATATATATATAGGCTATATTCGGTCGGAAAGCTGTCGCGAAAGGCCCGCCTTAATAACCATATATACCGTTAGTTTGATTGCAAATAACCCCTCCTACCACCCCACTTCTTTTGATCCATGACTTATGGGACACTGTGTATATATAAATTTTTTCATCTTTATAATTCATCTGAGGATATTCCTCTTTCAAAACTTATACCCAATCAAGGGGTTCAAACTTGAATGATGGAAACTAGTTATTTGTATAGACCTTCTATGGCAGATTTGTGATTAGTTTTTTTCAATGCAGAATTTCTTTCCATGCACTGTACAATGAATATCAATTAGTCATATATTCAAAAACTTTTTCATGAAATAACTATTTTTCCCACTGGAAAAAGTTTAGTACATTTTGCCCGGATATATTATACAGGGTGTCCCAAAATTAGCCTGCCAAACTTCAGCAGCGGCTTCTACGATCAAAAATAGGAAGGAAAGTTTCAATGAACATGAGACGAAAAATGTCTCGGAAGGGAGCTACGGCCCCCTGAAAGGGGGCTCCTGAAGATGATATTTCTTGAGTATTTCCGAAACCCCATGTGATAAAAAGATGCAATTTGATACAAGAACTATACTTTCCATGCCCAATGCAGTGAAAATGAAATCATTTCAAAATTTCACTCAGGAGTGTATAATACAGGGTGGGACTACATTAAATATTGCTCAAAATTTTTGTATGAATATTTTTCGACAATTTAATCTCGGATTATGAAAATCCATATCATTTCACAATAAAAAGTTGCTCTTGTTCCGCATCGATCAGATGTATCATTTTCGAGTGAAATCGATTTGAAAATATTGATACACTCACATCTTATGGATAATGAATAGGAGGGAGTTCTTCTCGCCTTTGAGTTGAATAACACCACAAAAAATGTCTAGGTTGGGATAAGATTCACTAGTCAGTGTGCTTGGTTATGCTTGTATACTAATTAAAAACTGTTTCAGAACATATTACATGAAATAATAAGGGAATACATATGAAATGCGAGTCGCCTAAAAACAATAGCGTGCGACCCCTTTTATTGTTTATTACGGAGTGTCGCGTCGACTCCTCGTCGACTCAACCCCACTGGTAAGTGATGAATGCGGGGTTGCCAGATGTTAAACAAAGTTATGGAAACTTGAGGTTGGCCTCAACAGATGCCAATTTCCAAATCATAGTGGTTATAAAAAAATCAACTACTTTCGGTTCACCAAATACTCTCATAAAAGCGTGAAAAATAGAAAAATGGTGTTGAAAAAACTACTTCAATTTTTGTGCATTTTTTATTCAATTTTCACTACGACTCATTGCAATGTTATTCATAATATCTGAGATGTAACAATATTTTTGAATCGCTTTTACTCGATAATGATACAACTGATCGATGCGGAACAAGAGCACCTTTTTTTAGTGAAATGATATGGATTTTCATGAACCGAGATTAAATTGTACAAAAATATGCATAAAAAAACTTCGAGCAATATTTAATGTAGTTCCAGTTTATTATACACTCCTGAGTGAAGTTTTGAAATTAATTCATTTTAACTGCATTGGACATGGAAAGTTTGGTTCTTGTAGCAGGTTGCATCTTTTTATCACATGGAGTTTCGGAAATACTCAAGAAATATCATCTTCAGGAGCCTCCTTTCAGGGGGCCGTAGCTCCCTTTTAGGAGACATTTCTCGTCTCATGTTCATTGAAACTTTCCTTCCTATTTTTGATCGTAGAAGCCGCTGGTGAAGTTTGGCAGGCTAATTTTGGGACACCCTGTATGCAGTGTTGATGGCTGTTGTTGTACCGCTAGTTTCGAAAAATAAACCTATATATACATTCATTTCTTTTAAGTGACGAGAAAGAAGTTTGACATTTCATCTCTATTGACAAGTTACAAAATGTCACTTTTCATAAATACTGTTGTTGTATTGTTGTTGTTGTGTCCAATGACAAAAAAAGAAGAGCAAGTAGCTGCAAGTGAATGCATCCAAGACAAAGGATAAAGAAGGCGAAATTTCAAACTTTTTCTTGAAATATCTCGATAAATAGTGGTTTGTTGTTATCAAATTCGTGTTTATTAGACAAAAATACGTAGGTACCAAACAAATTTTTGAAAAAAAAAACATTGTATGATAAGTGCAATTTTACCAATGAAATTATTGCCATAGATGAGACCGTGTTATTGGCGTACTTTCAAGAATTGGTATGTTATTTTATGAACTAAAGAAAAAACGGCGTTATGATTCATATTGCCCTCCATATCGCCCCGGGCGCAATGGGTCTGTCAATAGCAACCGTTGCCAAGGTATTATACAGCAGTAATGGACAAGTGATCAGTTTTATTTAAAAAAATGAATTCAAGACATAATTGTGTATTGGTAGAAAAATAAGTTATTTTCAATGTGATTGTTTGTTGATGTTGTTATATAATAAATCATTCTTCAAGTTATTATTCTTTATAAGAATTTCATCATCATTAAATTTCATATTCAGTATGTTGTTTAGGTTCATGGTTCATTAAATACAAATATTGAAGTTCATTTATCAACTTCAAGTGCTGATTTTGAAACATAAATGGACGGCTTTTGAGTTGGTTCCAAAAATCATTATAACGCCCGACGATCGTAACACTAGACACATCCATATTCGGGCGGTTGGTCATTTAGTCATTTCCTTTCAACTGGCAACACTGTATGTGTTATTGACGTTACTATCAACCCAGCGTGAAGGCCCTTTAGTGCCAAAAGTTGGTGCATGTTCGGTAATCATTTTGGGCGAACTTACAATAGTTGCAAGTCACGAAGCATACAGGGTAGGTCGAAAAATATAAAAATTGCTCAAGAGTACAGTACCCTTATTTCAGAAAATTCAGCAAAATGTTATTGGGAAAAGTTGTTTACAATTGAGAGTTATGCCTGAATACCAAAACATGGCCTCCTAAGAAATTTTTTAGTTTTTCAATTTTGGTCGTTAATAATTTCCCTTTTAGTAATATTTCATTTACAAAATGTGCACATTGAATGGAAGTTTTTGAATACGCATATTATCATTAATGATGTTCCACCTTGTTAAAAATATGGTTTGCGAAATTTTAAAGTTAAGCTGGATATCGTTGCAACAAACATGAAGTTTGTGATCCCTTAAAAAAATTAAAATTTAAGTTAATTGCACAAATATGCTCGAATTCGAACAAAGGTATGCTCAAATGATTTTGTTATGATTAACTTATGAAAGTATTCAGGGTGAATATAAAAAAAATTACAGATTGGGAAATTATTCACGAACAAAATTGAAAATTTAAAAAATATCTTATGAGGCCATACTTTGGTATTCAGGCATAACTTTCAGTTGTAAACAACTTCTTCCAATATTATTTTGCTGAATTTTCTGAAATAAGGGTACATTACTCCTTTTTTATATTTTTTGACCTACCCTGTATGCTGTGTGACTTGCAACCATTCCAAGTGCACCTAAAATGATCACCGAACATGCACCAACTTTTGGCACTATCAGTATTTTGGTTGTGCAATTCATTAAAAAGATTTCCATATGTTGCACACATAAATGACCACACTGTGTATATGATTTTATCCAGGAACACATGTATTTGAGACCGTTGTTCTTAAAATTGTGCTTCACGCGGTCTATCTCTCGAGTATCGATCCAAACCAATGTGTTATATGATCTAAGGTTTTACATGATCTGAGGTTACAGAACGAAAATCAAATCGACATTGACACTTCTGTCACATTGAATTAATTTATTGTGATGTAATTATTGCATTTTATTTAAAGTTTCGATTGAGTGTTATATGAGGAAGTGTATGAGATCACTGGAAAATGAAATTGTTATTTGTTTTATAGTAGTGATGGACACACTGATTAGGTACTTGGGTAGCACAAATCTTATGTGTATATCTCTACCAAGGAAGCATGCTGAAGCCAATTTATTTTACCTCCCACGGGAGGTAATATTTTTTTCCTCCCGTGGGAGTAAATTGACAGGTTTGTGTTCTCAAATGAGGGAATCAACGTTAACTTTCTATGCAGTGAATAGATAAATAAAATTATTAACTCCGTTCACAAGGATGTCCCAACGGGAAAATATTACAATAAGGGCGATGTTCGCTTTTTTTCCTATTGGCAATTGACGACTTTTCCATTTACATTGAAAATTGTTAAGCAATCACTTTCGCCAATGATTAAAGGAAATATGTTGAAAGTTTTCTTACCCGTTGTTGCAATAATCAAGGCATCGGCAAATCGCTTGGCCTTCAAACAAAGTCCAACTGCAGCCTCCACGTTGTTCAATAGAAGTGCTTGTGTTATAAGTCCAACATTATCTGAAATTCACGAATAACCGTGAGAAAAAAGAGTCGCTTCATTGAAAGCATACCTACCATCGCTAGTATTTATTTTGAAAAGTTCGGTCTTCTTTCCATCTTGACTCACTAACGATTCGAAAGGATCATTGAATGAGGCATCATCTATCTGGAATAGAGTTAACCCATTAACGGCCAAGACACTACGAATTTCAAATTTTCCTTCGATTTTCTTCCTCGAAAATGACACAATGTAGTATCGCTGATTCACACCCATCGGTACTATTTAAAGTGAGATTCGCGCAAAAACTATGTGTCATGATTAGTCATCACGCCTCAGTTCGTCACTTGTTATTTGTACCCGTCGAGTGCACAAAGGAAAAATTAATTGTGAGTGTGATAGTGAGATATAACTACAAATATGCCAAAAAGACATCGAAATGATAAGGAAAGTGATGGTGGACGGAAGAGAAATAAGTACGATAGTATCTTGAAGGAATTGAAACGTCTTAGAGATAGAATAGACTTATCTTCGTAAAGCGAAACGTCCTCAGACTCAGCGGAATATTATAGGACAGACCATGCAGAATCCGAGGCAGAATCAGTAGATTGTAAGTTTACTCTGATTATCGTGAAATTTGTGGTAGTTGTTATGGTATTTGATGGCATAGACGTTATAGGTTAAGTCGGGTGGTCGTTACACTACCTTACAAAATTATTAGTCAAAGCATTTAGTAGTTATACTAAATATAATATATTGTCGTTTCAGCGTTATCTGGAATGGATAGCAGTAGGCAGATTATAACCCAAGCTCAGGTACACGCCCCACCTAAAAACCACTGAACAAAGTGAAGATGGAAAAACACAGAACAAAGAAACCGACATTTTCGAGTTCTTAGGGTCAAAACCTAAACCAATGAAGACATCAGCTGAGCCATTACACGAAGAGTTGGCTATTAGATGGAATACCTATCTCAAGGAGGGAATTCAAAAGGATATTAGGGATAAAATCATAGAAAAATATCCATTATTTGAGAACTGTCCTGGACTGAAGACTCGCAATTCTAGGCCCAGAAGTAACCTCGTGCTTACACCAAAAAGCATTGACGCAAGACAAATTCATGGCTAATATACAAGACCAAACTGAACATGCCTTGGCGGCCTTAGGATGTCAGATGAATCAGTTTCTGAAAAAGGGGGGCGAAGATAACAAGAAAACACTCACTACGTTAGCAGATGCCTCTCAACTGATTTCAAACATCCATCAGGCAATTTCAACACATAGAAAATATAACATCATGCCATATCTGAATTACTCCTCTCGAAAATTGATCGAGACAAGCCAACCTGATGAATTTCTTCTAGGAAGGAACTTTGTCGCAGACTTAAAAGCAAGTCAAACGGCTCAGAAGACAAGTTTCGAACTGAAGGCGAAACGCTTCATCAAACCACAAACACCAACTACTAAGTATCCAGTAGTGACAGTACTTCTGGTTACCAGGCTGGGCGTCATTTAAACTGGAAGCGCCCACAACAAACCGTCAAGAAGAGACATGCAGCTCAAGCAAGAAAGGAGTGGCCGGACAGCACACAGGTGAATCAGAGTTCATATGCAGGTCGCTGGGCAAACAATTCCAACAATTGGGAAATGATAACTAGTAATAAAAAAATTTTAGAGTGGGTCAAGGGAGTCGTTATACCCTTTGAATTAAAACCGTATAAAAATTATAGTAGTAAGGTCAATATTTCCGTTGTTGAGCGAGCTCCATATGACCAAGTAATCGATAATTTACTGAAAATTGGTGCAATAGTTAAATGTCAATACGAACCAGGAGAATTCTTATCGAAATATTTTTTGATTAAGAAACCGTTTGGAAAAATTAGATTCATACTGAACCTTACGGAGCTGCATAAATTCATTCATGCTCCACATTTCAACATTGAAGATTACTGGAGTGTCTTGAAACTACTTACCCACAATTCCTTTCTGGCAAATATTGACATGAGAGACGCTTATTATATTATGATACCAGTTCATACCGAGAGCAGGAAATATCTTAGATTTGTATACAATAAAACTCGAGATATCAATTTACTTGCTTGCCTTTTGGTCTGAATTTGTCGCCCTATATACTCACTAAAATCTTGAAATCTGTTCTTAAGGCATTGAGGATACAGAACATATTACTTTTTGTATACCTTGACGACATCCTGATAATAGATACTACAAAATCAAAATGTCAGGTTGCAGTAAATATCACAGTTCGAACCTTAGATCAGCTAGGCTTCCTAATAAATTTCAAAAAAAGTGTATTAAACCCAACACAATAAATAACATTTCTGGATTTCACTTATAATATATAATAAATATGACATTGTATTTACCACATGGGAAAAGACAAAATATTCATAATGAGCTGATTCACCTTCAAAGTAGAACTCATTGCACTATTCAGTATTTAGCTGAATTGACTGCTAAATCAGTAGCAGCTTGTCCCACAATATGGGTGGTGCATATAAAAGCGCTGGAGATTGCAAAATTCATAGCACTAAAGAAGTATAAAAACTATAATCACATTATGACACTCCCACCGTATCTGGATGTTGATATCATATGGTGGATAAACAATATCAAATTTTCATATCAGAATATCAATAGAAATCAAGAATTTATTTTGGAAATTTTTACCGATGCTTCCAATTGAGTATGGGGTTCATTTTGTAATGGAAACCCTACCCAAGGCTTCTGGTCCAATAATCAGAAGAAATTTCACATAAATTTCTTAGAATTGATGGCAGCATTTTATGGTCTCAAATCATTTGCCGAACATTCAAATAACTGTGATATTTTATTAAGAGTGGATAACAGAACAGCCGAAGCTTGTATTAACAAAAAAGAAAGCATTCAATTTCCTAACTTGAACAGTATCACTAGGGTTATATGGGACTGGTGGGAAGAAAGATTCATATATTCGCATCATATATTGCTTCTAAAGAAAACTCATTTGCTGACTCAGCCTCTAGATCCTTATCGATCGAGACCGAGTATGAATTAAATGATACTGTATTTAGAAACATTTGCAAAATACTTGGTGAACCAGATATTGACCTATTCGCCACCAGACTGAATGCAAAGTGTAAAAATTACGTTTCTTGGGGTCCTGACCCCGAATCATGTCAAATAGACGCTTTCACAATGAAGTGGAATTGATTTTTTTATGCTTTTCCACCCTTGTGTTTAATTTCAAGGGTACTTAATAAAATTATAATTGATAAGGCTGAAGGCATTGTGGTGGTTCCTAACTGGCCAGCTCAACCGTGGTACCCTCTTTTCAAAAGACTTATAAATGATGATCTACTGATCATAACTCCTGATAAAAATGTATTTTTCTACTCACATAACTAAAATGGCATTCATCGTACGGATATGTACCACGCTAAATGATCGATTAATCACGGATTGTCGATCTGTGATTTATTCAAAATATTAAACACGTTACCATGGCAACACGATTTCTTAAACACATCACCATGGCAACGCAGTTCATTAAACACAGATTCAGTAATTCGAGACATGTCTGGCCTGTCAATTGTATTGACTGTCAACTGTTATTTTCATATTTTGTATCAGAATTATTCAAACAATATTCGTTTGTATCGGAATTCTTCATTAAAAATATATGCGAAAAGTAGACGAGAGTGAAATCGAAGAGAATGTTCAGGTACTAACATACCTCCAAGAAGTGTGAAAATGAAGCAGCCATCTTTGAGAACAATTAATTTATTCTGCGCTAAGCATGACAATAAACGTGAAACAAAGGTTAGTAAGCAATGGACTGGACAGATCTACAACCAATATCACTTATACGTGTCTCGCTGGTTGCATGCAGTTGTATGTATTATGTTTTCAATTCCCATTCCTTTCGAATTATTTTGTAGGTTATCAGGAATAGCAGGTATGTTAATTAATGTAATTTTTGGAGTTCGTAGAAAAATCATAGTATGTAACGCGTTTATAAACTCTTCTAGACACTCGTTTATTAAACACTCGCTCCGCTCTGCTCTGCTCGTGCTTAAACTACTCGTTACTAAAAGGACGTTTATAACACTTGTTACATAATATACTATACTGTCTCCATTTAGGACTCCGCACCTTCTTCACCAGAGCCTTTCGTTGGTTGCCGCGAAATTATCCGTAGATCAATGATGGGGAGACGAGTTCCAGAAGATGCTATACCTACCATGATAGCATCTATTAGCGACAGTACATTGAGTCAGTATGAAGCCTGTTATAGAAAATGGTGGACATACAGTGAAGAAAATAAGATGAAGCCTTTAGAATTCAATCTGCAATATTTTCTAGCATTCATTCAGACACACATGAATGATGGTCTTTCATATTCCACTCTAAATAGTTACAGATCAGCATTGAATTTGATGAACCCTCCATCACTGGAAAGTCAAAACATTATAAATAGGTTTCTCAAAGGAGTGTACAACATTCGACCTCCTCAACCCAAATACCAAACCACATGGGATCCACAACCGGTATTGAATTATCTGAAAGGGCTATACCCATTAGATAAGCTTAGTTTGGAGCAGCTCTCCAAAAAATTAGTGATGCTTTTGGCATTAACTACTGGTCATAGGGTTCAAACGCTATGGAAAATATCACTGATATGATTCAGGTTAAAATATCAGATAAGATGAAAACATCCGGAAAAAATAAGCTTCAGCCAATATTACATTTTCCATATTTTCAACAATGCCCAGAACTCTATGTAGCAACATTAATCAGTCATTATATTAGAGTTATGGATCCCCTCAGAAATGATATTCAATCTTATATTAACCCATAAAAAACCACACCATACAGCTACAGCACAAACAATTAGTAGATGGCTGAAAGATGTACTAAAGACTAGCTGCATCGATACGAGTATTTTTCGGGACATATAGCACCCGACATGAAGCAACGTCAGTAGCCTTTCGTTGTGGGGTTGATATAGATACCATTAAAAACTCAGCTGGTTGGACGGAATCGTCAAACGTGTTCAATAAATTTTATAATCGACCTGTTACACAAAATAGAAAAAGATTTCGCTCAAGTTGTATTAGGAATGAAATGAAGACTGCTAGCTTAAATATACAGGCTGATTTTAAAATGAGTGCATATATTCAAGACATATATATGAGAGAGTCTAACAAAAATTACTGAAATATTTGATTTTTCCTTCACATTAACGAGAAATTTCATTTTGAAAATTGAACATAAAATGCTTCGAAATTCGAGTACGCCACTGGGGAGCAAGTGAAATCTGCGGAATCCCAGACAATCCTCAATTCGTCATTCACTAATGTCAAATCAAGACAGTGATGCCAGATTGTTTCAGAGACGAATATCCTGATAAAAATTTGTCACAGAATGAATATGAATTGGAATAGGTTACGGAAACTAATAGAGGTGAATGTAATATGTACAGGAGCCTTATTTTTTAAAGTTTACTGAGAGAACTGTGGGGTGATTATCTCCATGGATCACGAGAGACGGAGAGAAACATGAGGGGAATGATAGAACGTCCCCCTTCCTTCAATTCGAAAATAAGGCCCCAGCAGGTAGATACAAAATTAGCAGACAATAAATAGGTACACAACATACACAAAGTTGAATATCGACTCACCTAGTAGATTTTCTCATACCTGCTCGAACAGCAAAACTCCCGAGAGCAAACAAATACTAATATCGAGTCCATCATATTATCTGTCAACATCATTTCTCAGAACAGTAGTATCTGTGACCATAGATTTCCTCTTTGCTGTGACCTTTGAAAGTACTAACTAGGATTGTTCGCGTTCTATTCATGTTCTATTACTATTTCACGAAGATTGTTACGATATTACGATTTGTCATGAATCTATTACTATTTGCTATTAGCACCAAAATATGTTCCAATACTAAAAAATCTATTTCTGTGCTCAGCGGATAATTATGTTCCGTTCTATGTTCTATATTCATGTCAAAACTGTGATTAGTGCGATAGGGTTTGACAAGAATGACATTCCGAATGTCAAATGTCAGATTTTTCGAGTCTATTACCTTTTGATACAAATCTGATACCTTTTTCCAAGGAAATCTATTACGGAAAAATCAGACCCAGGAACAACACTGACTAGTAAATGTAAAGTTTTGTTTCTGACAATTTGCTTGGGATGTGACGATGCATTTCTCAAACATTGAGCTGAATGATATGGTTCTTATGTCGGGTCGTTATTGTGCGGGGCCCATGAGACTCCTCGAAGCAAATTGTAGCGATGCAAGGAGGTGGAATAAGGGTCTAAAGGATTTTTCAGTAAAAGAACTTCCAACCGTGAGGTGTTAAGCTATACGCTATTCGAGCTTATGTGTAGAAATCATGGGTGAGTCCATTTTAAAGTTTTTGTATTATCTTTCTGAAATTAAAGACCAGGGTTAACTTCTTCCCCATGTACATTTTCTCGATTATACATTTTATTTAATATCTCCTAATTTTCATGTAGAGTGGCAACGTCGCTTCGTTCATCACGGTCGACTGCGGATCGCAAACGATAGTTGTGACAGAAGTAGAAATCTGGGCGGAAAAAGGGTATTTTGCCCCAAATCTATTTTGATCCTAATAATATTTTTAATAGTGCTATTCGGTAGAATACCTCAAGCTTTCTTAGTGTTTAAAATATATGCACTTATTTTAAAATCAGCATGTATATATTTTTTTGTTTGTTTGTGGGAATTGGGTTATACTGCCCATTTAATTTGTAAAATGTTTGATATGTTATACTGCCTATTATGTTTGTTATTGCCTTTCTTTAATAGGTAATAAAAATTATTGGATTTACCATATTTCATTCCCATGATAAATTGGATTTGGGCAAATGTTACCGCAGATCGGTCAAAATTCTATAAACATCTACATTGTTTAATTATCAAAGAAGAGAAGCGAAGGAAAATTGAAAAATTGATCGACTTACCTGGTAGGAAGGTCAATTTTAATTTTCCGAGCTTTTCTTTCGAAGATAATTACAACCCTCCCTCCCATCAATATACCCAGAGCGATCTGATGGTACAAATACCAAAGTGACGAACTGTGGCGTGATGACTAATCATGACACATAGTTTTTGCGCGAATTTCACTTTAAATAGTACCGACGGGTGTGAATCAGCGATACTACATTGTGTAATTATCTTCGGAAGAAAAGCTCGGAAAATTAAAATTGACCTTCCTACCAGGTAAGTCGATCAATTTTTCAATTTTGATTTTTTTCAATTGTGGTTCAGTTGGAATTCACAAAGAAACATTCAAAAAAATATAAATTCATTATATAAAAAAACAAGTGGGAGCGTAAGCGCACCTTTGGCCAAAAACGGTTATTAAAATAATCTAATAAAAAAAAACAATACAGAATACCTAGCTTATATTTTCGAATGATTATTTCCAAAATAATCTGGATGGAGATGCACTTTGCACTTCACACATAGATAAATTGTGTTACTCTTACATAATCTACATTTTTTCTTGCACTATTGAATGTTAATATCTCTCATTATCAAATGTACGACATTATCAAACCTAATATCTGGTAGAGCTGTTGTAGCAGACCACGCAAACATTGTTTTGCTTGGTACATTATTTCTATAATATATTTTTTCAGTTCAATATTCATCAAGACACTATTATTATTTCATTTTGTACTTCTTTGAAGTTTCACTATCTATAAAAGCGTGTTTCTTTAGTTTTTCAAACTATCATTTATTTCAACTTCTTTTTTGTTCACTGGAATTTCCCAATTTTGGCGAAACAATCATAATATCCGACTCCTAAAACCCCAGATGGAAATTTTTAATAGACTCGTAACATAATTACAAAACTCGTCTGCAATATTGGATCTATGATCTTGAATAGACAATTTCACTATGATTGAAAATAGCCCTTTTTATATGGCGAACGGTCTCATACATGACTCAGTATATCAAATAGCACTTCCTCTCATCTATTGATAAATTTACGACCGTTTAATTAATACCTACTTCAAAAGTGCTACAAATTGAGAGACTTCCAAACGACCATTTATCTCGGTATGACGTCACTTGTATTTTCTTACTCAAAGTGTATGACGCGGTATGACGCACCTTGTATTCGTCCAATGAAATGCCATCAATATTTCGCGCGCATTCGAGGTATTGTTCGAATTTAGGTTCAATTTAATAATTTTTTTCTGGGCCAACCGCAATCGTAAGAAAGTTGAAATAATGCTGATTTCACCCAGTATGTGTTCTAAATCGCGAAAAAAAATGCAAAAGATCATGGTGAAATTCCCTATTCCCTAATTTTGATGAAGGAATCATAATTTTTGATCCCGAAAACGCACACTTACAAATGTTAAATAGAATCGGTATATAATTACAGAACTCATCTGGTATATTGGTTCCATTGCAACAATTTTGAACAACGCATACACTCATTATTCACATAAAAAAAGCGTGAGAAGAAAAATTAATTTAGTTTCCTAACGACACAGTGGAGTAATTGAATGCCAATAATTCATCATCAGTCCACTCGCCCTTTCATGCTCTATGGAGATTATAATAAGTGGAAAATCAATAAAAACAGAAACTCACCCTATTGATGTTCTTCAGATCATCCGCTAATCCGTCGACATCGCTATGCAGATCTCTGGGTATGTACTTATTCAATTTATTATTGACATCCTCGATGCTGTAACCCAACAAATTCAACAACTCCGCTCTAGGACTGACTTCGAAGTTGGCCTTGATGAAGTGCCAGATGTACTTTTTGTGTTGATCGTTCGTTTGTTCGGATTTACTGCGACAATAATCTGAAAATTGTTATTGTCAATTCAATCGTCAAGCAGTGACAGTTTGTGTTACAGTGCATGTATCAGAATAGTATATTGTTCAACGAGCACCTTGATTTTCCTACCGAAAAATAAATTGATATGGGAGAAAAGATTCTGTTCTGGTTTCCATGAAAAGGGATATCCAGTAATTTTCAGAGATCATCGTGAGAACCAAGGGATATAAGGTAGGAATTGGTGTTCTCCGTAAATTTCTTGAGGTTATATGCCTTGGGGACACCTCCCTTGGCAATGTGTTCCAGAGCCTCGCTGTTCGTTGGATGAACGAGTCTTTGGAAAGAGATGTTCTGCAGGTCTCCGAAGTGACCACGAAGGGGTGAGAAGCCTCAACTCGGCGGGTTGATCTCGCTGTGCCTGCCAAGGGAGGAACAATTGTTGATATTTCAGAAGAGCATCGTCCATGGAAATATCTATAAAATAGAGCCAGATCGCCAATCGAGTGAGTTTGTGAGCGAGGCATCACCCACGAGACGAATTGCCCTTTTTTGGACAGAATCCAACAGTTTCAGGGTATGTTTGGGTGCTGCACTCCAAATATGGGCTGTATACAAATCGACTTACCTCGGGAAAGGGGCAATATGGGAAAAAAGTTTGAAAATACCCAGGGAAATTCCTCAAAAAAATCTAATTTTTAAAACAATCAATTCTCTATCTTGATTTTCCTAGGGGAAAATAAGTCGAGATAAGAGAAAAACACTGTTATTGACTTACATACTTCGGGACAGGAACAATTTGGTGAAAACGATTGAAAATACTGATAAAAACTAATGGATTTTCAAACCAATCAATTATTCACCTCGATTTTCCCAGCGAAAAATATGTTAAGATAGGAAAAATATGTTGAGAGGAGAGGAAAAATATGTTGAGAGAGGAAAAATACGTTGAGAGGAGAGAAATTGATTGATTGTACAAACATTTTTTTTTATTAAACCATTTTAGCATACATATTGATAAATACATCTAGCATTTTGTTCCTAATCAGCAACATGCTGGTGACGGAACATTATAATTGACATATGATTCAACAACAATTTATGTAGTTACCATAGTATACATTAGTATACATTAATTCAAAAATTCAAAATTCAAAATTTCTTTAATTCCTTTCAGATCAAGACATATCCATATAAAAGGTTTTTAAACAGACATGTATGATATAGGAAGCGTCAGCAAATGTAGGAAGAAAATGTTCTATCAATAGATAATAAACGACCCTAAGTAAAAAATAAAACATTGAGATATAAAATCACAATGAATAATAAACGACACTAAATAAAAATAAAACATTAAGATATAAAATTACAATTAAAATCGAAATTTCTTGTAACGTCACACCGAAACACTGTTGAAAAGAACATGAATATTTCCATCCCTATTACAGTTTTGGTTTACTGGCAAAAAACTGACTTACTGAGTAATAAACTTTGGGTAACAGATAGTTTTTCAATTCTACCTTAAACTTGTTTATGCTTAAGATGTCCTTAATTCCAGATGGTAAATTATTGAATATTTTGATTGACATTGCATGGGGGCCATCCATGGCACTGCTCAGGCGATAATGAGGAGTGCATATTCTAGTTTTTCCACGAGTATCGTAACTGTGAACATCTTGGAGGGTTTTATATTGATTTAGCCTACTTTTCACATACACTGAGCATGCAAATATATATACTGAGATAACGGTGAGTATGTCATATTTAATAAATAGCTCTGTGCATGAGTGCCTCCGAGGTACCCTCGCAATTTGCCGGATTAAGTTTTTTTGCGATATCAAAACTGCTTCAATATTCTGTGAATTACCCCAACAGATCACGCCATACGATAGCTTCGAGTAGCATTGGCCATAGTAGAGCATGAGTAAAGTGGAATCACTGACATGCGGTCTGAGTTTTCGAAACAAAAAAGAAAGAGAATTCAAGGCCTTACATAGTGCCTCAGTATGTGACAGCCAGCTCAGTTTGGAATCGAGGTGAATGCCTAAAAACTTTGTACTATTCAATTGTTGTACAGTACTCCCATCATCTGATCTCACTAATATACTATAGTCAAATGGTTTATTTTTGTTTTCGAAATGAATGATATGAGATTTTTCATTATTTATGCTTAGACAATTCTGCTTTGACCATTCATTCATTTTGGACGTTATATTTTGGGAGTGTTCTATAGTTGTTATGAAATTAGAGTCGTCAGCATAAAGAATTGGTAAAGTTTTAGCTGGAGCAATACTTGGTAAATCATTGTTCATAATAAGGAACAAGGTTGGAGACAGAAGACTTCCTTGAGGTAACCCAATGTTAGTCGAAAGGGGGGTGGATTTTACACCATTTGCATATACGATTTGTTGGCGATTGCAAAGATATGATTTGATCCAGCATATTGCTGGACCCCGTATTCCAATTTTCTCTAGCTTGAAGAACAATATTTCATGTTGAACCAAGTCAAACGCACGACTAAAGTCAAAAAATAAACCTACAGTATCTTCCTTTTTATCTAATGATTCTAGTGTGAATTTCACGCTTTCATAGATTGCCGTTTCTGTGCTTTTCTTCTTCAAAAAACCGTGTTGAAATGGGGTCAGGATTTTATTCTTGTCTAAAAAATTATTTAGTTGCAATAAAAACACTTTTTCGAATATTTTGGACAATTGATTTTGCACTGCTATGGCTCTATACTGCGATAAATCAGCACTTGATCCTTTATTCTTGAATGCGGGCGTTATTTTTGATTTCTTCAATATTTTTGGAAATTCACCATACTCCAGGGATCTATTTATCAAATATAACAGAGGTTTTTTTATTTCATCAAAGCATTTTTTGATAATGAATCCGGGTACTCCATCACTTCCTTGTGATTTTTCCGCCTTAAGAGACATTACTATATTTTCTAAATCAGTTTCGGAAACTGGACTGAGAAATATACTATTTGGTATGTAATTGCTGTTATATTGCGTTTCTCCCGTGAAATTCATGGTATCAACGTCGCAGAAGAATGAATTGAAAAGATTTGCAATTTCAGTAGGGTCCCTAATTGTCTCACCCTGTATATTGTTCATTTCCGAAATAACATTTGTTTTCCCAGTATTCTCGCGATGACTATTTATCACTTGCCATGCAGCTCGTGTCTTATTTTCAGCGTTTTTAATAAAGTTTTCGGTCTGATATTTTTTTGTTTCATTCAAAAGTCTGTGATAAGATCGTTTAGCATCTAAATAATACAGGTGGAAATCTGGACAATTCAACAATTTATCATAAGAGTAAAGTTCTTTCATATGATTAGAGAGGTATCTGATATTATCTGTTACCCAATTTTTTCCTACAGTCTGTTTATTCGTATGTTTTTTGGTTTTCAAAATAAAACTGATATCGAACAAATATAAAAACACGTTGTAAAAAGCCTGAAATGAATCATTGAACCCGTTTGATATATCATACACACTATCCCATGATTCTCTTTCAAGTAAAGAGATGAATGTTGCCAGATTTTGTTCACTAAAGTCTCTAAATTGGATTCTGGCGTTATTTTCTTTCACCGGGTTCCTTTCTATGTTGAAATGATATAATTGATACGTGTGATCAGATAAATGTGTGTCTATCACTTCCGTTTCACCATTTTCAATATCAGTAATGATATTGTCTATTGCAGTTGCAGATGTGGAGGAGATTCTGGTTGGGCAATTTATGAGCGAGTGTAAATTGAAATTTGATAAAACACTCACAAAACTGTTCTTGGTGATACCATCTTTCATGACATCGATGTTAAAATCCCCACATAATATGATGTTTCTTCTCCTCTTGGATAACTGACCTTCAACTAGTTCACTCAACAAATCACTGAGGTTATTGAGAAACTCTTGGAGATTACTTGGATCAGGTGATCTGTAGGCTGCTAATATACGAATATCCGCATTTGGGGTGCTCCATTCGACGCAGGCAAATTCGGATATCGAGTCTCTTGAGAATGTTTTGACTTCTATTTTTTTCACATCTTTTGAAATATCCTCTTTGACAAATATACATATTCCTCCCATGTGCATTTTATCACGACAGTGCCACGCAGTTAGCTTGTAACCGCGCAGAATGGTTGTTGGTATATCGTCAATTTTTATAGCTGCTTCAGTCAAAATCAGAACGTCCGGGGATATTTCGTCCAATATGACTTCTAGTGCTTCGATTTTATTCAATAGACTTCTTATATTGAGGTGCATTATCTTCGCTTTACCAGTATTTCCCAAATTTAAGCTGGTCGGTCCCCCACTCTTCTTCTCAACTCTAAAAAACGCTGGACACAGGCGCCTTCCGGCCACTTTGAGGGCTCCATGGCACTATTAAAGTGATCTTCATATATTGTCACCTTGAAAGACGAGTACATATCTGGATATTTTGACGGAATGGATGTACAGGTAACTTCTGGAAAATGCTCCTTCAGTAGCTCAGCCAGGTTTTCTACTGTCATGGAGGTTTCCACCCTATATACATGAAGTGAGACCAACTTCGGAACACCTTTCACCACCCTTCCATTTAATTCCATCCTACTGTTACTTCCAACGACTTTATCATTTTTTCTTCTGTTGGTCTTGTGGATAACTCTTTTCCAACCATCGTCTGGTGCATTATTTGGTTCATTTGGATTGGCGATATTAATATATTTTTCACATATAGCACGTCCTTCTGCCTCGTGGACTGCATTTGACATTGTTTTTGGATCAATCCCTTTAACGGTTATATTTGTACTGTCTTGAGGATTTTGTAGTACTTTAGAACCACCTGGAGTTTCGAATTTGTGTTCCGTCTTCGAAGTGTTTCTATTTAATCTAGGATTTGCTGCAGTTTTCTGCGACACGGCATCATCGCCTTTTCGACAATCGGAGATTCTTGCTGTACTTTGGTTTTTCATCAATTCAATGATTGTTTCCAGGTTCTTTATTGATCTTTCTAACTCATAATTTACTCTTTGAGAACATTCTAGTTCAGTTTTTGTACATTTCAACTCACTTTTCAGTAATATTTGGCTTGTATGGTCCCCAGTTTTATTCACTGTCAAATCACTGTTTGAGTCGTAAAAACAGTCACTTTCACTTTCAATTAAGTTTTTCACATTATCACTAAGTCTGTAGTCATTTGGTACTCTTCTAGTCAGAATAATTTCGATTAAATCGCTTTTTTTAAGCTTGTCTAACTCTTTCACGACCGCTTCGCGTGTCGCCATTTTGCTATACTTATACACAAACAATAACAATTACAATCTTAAGTATATCATAGTACAGTAGTTCAAGTTTATTTTAAATGAAGAATAACTATCTATATTTTTCACAGGATTTGGCAAAGAGTTGAAAGTTTCTAGACATTTGTATATAGGATTATTTAGTGCCAAGTTTGTTCTTACATTTGATAGATAAAAATTATTTTGATTTCTAGTCTCATATGTGTGAGTTTCGTTAACTAAGTTGAATTTAGTATTACATTTTTGTTGATTTTTTTGTATTTTGTAAGTGTATTTGCATTGTTCTATTTGTAATATTTGTTCCAAGGGCATTATTCCTGTTTCTTTATATATTTTCTCTGTATGTGTTCTGTAGCTATATCCAAATAAAAATTTCACTACCTTATTTTGAAGAGTCTGTATTTTCTTAAATTGTGTTGGTCGACATTTACCCCAGGTTGTTATGAGATAGCGAAAAACTGACAGAAAGTATGCATTGTAAATCATAAGCCTATTTTGAGTATTCAGATAGCTACCACATCTATACAAAGCACCAATCATAGGGACTACCTTTTTTGAAATATGATTCCAGTGTTCCTGCCAGTTCAGCTTATTATCTATAACCAGTCCTAGATATTTGGTGTATTCGACTATATTTATTTGTTGGGAACCAATTTTTATTGACAAATCACGGGTTTCCATATTTTTGTTTTTGAACAACATAAAAATAGTTTTATTAATATTTATTTTAAGTTTATTACTTAGAAGCCACTCAGCATACAGTTTTAAATCATTATTGACCAACTGTTCCAATTTAGTTAGGTTATTTCCTTCATAGACAAGAACAGTGTCGTCTGCAAATATACAGGGTGGGTCACGGTCGATGGCACCTTAGACGTTTACGGAGAACGGGACAAGATCATTCTGAAAATTTGGTTACTCAAGTAATTGCTCTTGATCTATCGATCTAAAATATTTTCAGCTCTGCGGCGTTGCCGCTTCTATCGAAAAGTAAGTAATTGAAAAAAATACAGGGTGGTGCAGAATTCAGATTCTTGATCACCCGGTATATGTCCCAATTAAATATCAGTAGATAGTTAATCAAAAGTTGAGATAGGGACATGTAAGCCGTTTTGACCAATAATGAATAGTTTCGACAAAAAAAATTCCTTAAGTTGAAAAATGTCGATTTTTCACACCCTATATCTCTGTGATCATTTCCGCTAGACCCCAAGTGTGATATATCGATGAAATCAGCTCTTCAGAGAGAATCTGAAGATGCAATGAAATACAGGGTGTTCCATTTAAAATAACAAAGTTGTTGCTACTTTTCGATAGAAGCGGCAACGCCGCAGAGCTGAAAATATTTTAGATCGATAGATCAAGAGCAATTACTTGAGTAACCAAATTTTCAGAATGATCTTATGTCCTGTTCTCCGTAAACGTGTAAGGTGCCATCTGCCGTGACCCACCCTGTATAGTAGCGAGCTTTCAATTTGGCTTTTTTAAGGTTTAGTGTATGTAAGGAATACATTGACTTACAAATCTTGGGAGAGGCATCTTGGAATAAACTAATGAAAATACCGACGAAAATACTTCAAAAAATCAGCTGATATGAGAGAGAAATAATGACTGTATACACATTGATCTACATACCTTGGTAGAGGAGCAATTTGGAAGAAACTAATGAAAATACCGACGAAAATACTAAAAAAGATTGTTCATATGTAATACAAGTGTATTGTTGATCATCAAACTACAAACATAATTTGTTTCAAACAGAGTAGGGATTATGTATTGTGGTGCAAGAACAAGGGAATGAGTGCTGGAGTTGATTATTTTTCGTAAGATACAAGGTCACTGCTTATTGAGTTTTTGATAGAAAAGTGCTCATCAAATTTTGAGTAACAGAGCACTTGAGTGATAAAATGCTATTTAGCAGTAAACATTTCCGTCAAGAAGATATAGGTATATTCTGTTGTGAACTGCTATGCTGTTTCACCCATTATATTATATTCGCCTTGTATATGAATATTATAATATTATTACTCAGTTGTTCTACTTAACATTGTCTACACTATTGCAACATTTGCTTATTTTACAGTTTTAATGTAACAACGACCTGTTGCAGGAAACCATGTTGCTATTTGTTTCTATCTTTATTTTATATATTTCTCTTTTTGTCTATTGATGGCGTGATGCACTATGACTGTCACGTGACTTGAATGTCCTTTAAATAAACTTTACGAAGCCACGCGCAGGCAGTTGCAGTTAGATATTCATTCTAAATTTTACCTTTTGTCAACTCAACCAATGTACTAATTCCGCCAATGAAATCACCAATTTTATTTATTTATTTATTTCAGTTATTGCATTACATTCTCTTCTTCATTGATACATTTCATACAAATAATATATAAAGTATAATTAATTTTCTAGTAGGAATGACATGAATGATCAGACAGTAATTCCTGGTATAAGATCATTCATGAAGTATTATCGACTGTTGTATAATTGAAATTACAAATAGTGAACAAAACTTACATATCATTAAGATACAGTCATATTATAGTGAACAAAAAGGGGAAAAATAAAAACAGTGAAATAAAAAAGAAAAAAGGAAATTCATAGTCTTTCAGCTTTGATCATTCCTTTGCATATAAATATATTTCTTAACTTTATTTTTGAATTGCATAATATTTGGGCTGTTTTTGATATCATCTGGTAAATTATTGAATTTCGAAATCGCCTCATGTGTAAAGTTTTTTTGTCCAAGTTTAGAATTTGCAGCTTCAAGATGAAACAAGTTATATTGTCTAGTGTGATGATCATGAATTTCGGATTTCCTAATTAATATAAAATTGATTTAAGCTTTTCGTTGATGATATGATAGGAAATTTTGAGAGTATTGATTAAAAAGTGCCCTTCCAAAGAAAATGTGTTTGTTTCCTTATACAGTTGATTCGTTGAAGTATCATATGGAAGACGATACTATACTTTCAATGCCTTTTTATATAGAACAGAAATTTTGTTGAAACTATTTTTGGAACAAGATCCCCAAATATTTATGAGATAGTTAATTCGACTGAGTATATGTGAATAGAGAATAATATTTGATGTATATGTACAAGTTTAGGACATCTTCTCAAAGCACCAATAATGGGAGATACTTTTCCTATGAGGATGTCTATATGCTTTCCCCATGTTAATTTTTCATCAATCCAAATACCAAGGTATTTGGTATGAGCAGTTTGTTTCAAACGTTCATTTTTTATTCTAATATTCAGATCAATATTTTGTTTATTTCTTTGACGAAAAATCATGTATTGAGTCTTATTAGAATTGAGAGAAAGAAGATTGGAATAAAGCCATTTCTCAACTTTTTTCAAGTCCTCATTTATGATTAAATCTAGTCGATAAGTATCCAGTGTTTTGCTCTACAACTTACGACCACCCCTTTCCCAGCCTGACCGCTCGCAACAATTCCATGGGAAACATGATGTATGTAAAATCTAATTCAGTCCCACAACTGTACCTGAGAAGAACTGATTATATTCATAAGAAAGGTTAGTAACATAACAAAATTTGAATATTATCATAGAATAGGCAGTTTGGCAGAGAAAAATGTAATGGTCCAGCTGGTTGAAACAGACCAATTTCTGAATCATTGTTTATGTAAGTTTGAACGTTGTTCAAATGTTACCAATTCAGTACCTAACCTGTAAGATATTAATTGTTGAGTGGATTTTGATTTATAATTTCAATTTTCAATATCCTGCTCTTACCGATGTTGAATTGCATTATTGATTTGTTCTTTTGGCTGTTTAATCGATTCAAAGAACAACATACTTAATTACCTGCCTGATTTTCCGGTTTTTGACCTAGTTTTTAGTTAAACTTATCTCCACATGTCTTCTTAGGTATTTTATGTGTCTGAAGATGGCTGTAGAACCGGAACTAGTCACATAAACATGATTTGTTAATATGATTTTTGTGGTCGACCGACTTTGTCTTATACTGTTTGATAAAAAAAAACCGACAGGGCCTTCCAAAACAGTTAGGGACGACCAAAAAGTTCCATCACTCACCGCCGAAATCCCCGCATTCCAGGGCCTTCTCCAATTCGCTGGATTTGCGCACCAGGTCCGGCTCGGTCACCACCTGACTGACGCGGACGGTTCTCGGGACAGGGACGGGCTGCACGTCACTGACAGCCTGGCTCAAGGCCGTCTTGTCGTTTTCGAAGGTGACGAGTCTGCCTCCGAACTGGAAGAAACCAGAGACATTTAGACCTCGTTATTTACGTTTTTGCCCGATCAGTCATCTTTCTATCCTCTTTTCAGTCAACACCCTTTTATTATTCATTATTCCGGATTTTTTGGGATTTTTTCTCCTCGTTTCTATTAAATAAAGATATGAATATTATTTCAGTGTAGTAAGGACAAATCAGATGATTTGCCCCAAAATGTCACTGCGTTTAAAGAATTTTCCTATCAGAGAGCCTAAAAGAAAAATTCGCCAGCTTGTCAGTGGCAATTTGTAATGGAAGAGGTTTGAAGAAGAAAAATAAAGGCATATAGAAAAAATATCAAATTTTCACTTTGCTTTGGACCTTTCGGGAACGAATCTGCCCCCATATCCAACATAAAAAATGGATATTTGTATAGCAAATTCGTATTCGTCTTGACAATTGGAAAATTGGTGACGTTGGTAATCAAATAACTTACAGGATGTTTATGTTGAAAGTAGAAACAGATTCGTTCCTGAAACGTCTAAAGCTGAGTGAAAATTTTATATTTTTTCTACATATACCTTTATTTCTCTACTCCAAACCTTTTTCAATATGAATTGTCACTGACAAGCTGGTGAATTTTTCTTTTATAGGCTCTCTGATTCTTCAAACGCAGTCACATTTCGGGGCAAATCCTCTCATTTGACCTTACTACACGTATATTGGAATAATATTCATATTTTTATCTTATAGAAACGAGGAGAGAAAATCCCAAAAAATCTGGAATAATAAATGTACCACCTCCTCGATTAACCTAGACAGTATTTACCCTTTTATTAGCATCACATGTATGTATGTATGTCTGTAACCGACTCCTTTGGACTCGATTTTGACCCACTTTGAATTGATCGATTGATTTGAAATTTGGCAGGTGTACATAATTCTGGTGGCAATGTATCATGATATATTCGTTGGACAAATAAACAAAATGGCGGCTGCAAAAGGGCAGACGAGTTTTGTAGTGCTGATCCGATTCTATGGAAGTTTTATAGGTCGGACATCATCATTCTTTCGTCAAAATCGGTGAATTCAAGATGTCGGATACAATATGGCAGACGGATTTGATAAGCATGATCCGATTCTATTGAAACTTAGTATCCGGGGGTTTTCGGGGAAGGAGATTCTTTCGTCACAATTGGGTATACCAACAAGAATATAAGAACACCAAAAAACAGGCTTTTGTATTTAGCCGAACTTAAAATTAATAATGAAATTGTAGTTTGAAAAATTAAAAAAAAAACTTCTATAGATAGCCAAACTAAAAAAAGTAGAGAATAAAATAATACAAGTTCGTTGATAAATACACAACGATAGAAATATTAGCATCTCCGTAATCAGTACATTCTAAGTTGTGTTCTATCAACACACTTGTATTATTTTATTAAGTACTTTTTATTAGTACGGCTATATATAAAATAGTGTTTCTTCAGTTTTTTGAACTACTAGTTATTTCTATTTTGTAGTTCGGCTAGCTACAAAAGCGTGTTCGTTAGTGTTCTTATATTTTTTGTAACCAATTTTGACAGAAGAATCATAATCTCCGACCTTGTTCACCCCCAGATACCAACTTTGAATAGAATTGGATCATACAATTACAAAACTCGTTTACCATATTAATAATAATAATATAAGTTTATTCAAAAACGTTTACAAAATATACATTGGAATAAACATAAAGGTAATTTGAATAAACTGGGAAAAACCTTACGAAGTTAACCTTGTAGTAAGGATAAAAAATAAATAAATGTACATAGGTCAATAAATATTTAACAATATCAAGTTATCACAATTGAAAATTGTCTCATTAAGAAATGAGACAAGTATTCAATTCATAATATATAGTGTACGGAGCATTTCATTCAATACGCATAATTATTTATATTCATACATACTTATTCACAATTATTATCAAAATTTATCTAATGATATTATTAAATGTTAATTAAAGAAATAAAATAATTTTTAGGGGAGTTTAATATCCAGTTTATTATTTTAATTGTATAGGATTGTAGTGATTTTGTTTTTATAATATCATTTGGAATTTTATTATATAGGTAAGGAATTTAAATTTTAAATTTCTACGTCCAAATGACTTGTTTGTTTTATATTTCAATGTTATGTTACTGGATCCGCCATCTTGAATTTTTCGATTTCGACGAAAGAATAATGATCTCCAACCCGGAGAACCCCCAGATACAAATTTTGAATAGATTCGGATCATAATTACAAAACTCGTCCGCCATATTGGATCCGCCATCTTGAATTTACCAATTTCGAAGGAAGAATCATTATCTCCGGCCTTTAAAACCCCCATGTACAAATTTTCAATAGAATCGCATCATAATTACAAAGCTCTTTCGTCATACTGGATCTGCCATCTAGAATTTTAAAATTTTTACAAACAATCATAATCTCTGATTCCTAAAACCCCCAGAATAAAATAGAACCAGATCATAATTACAACTCTTCCGCCATATTGGATCAGTCATCTTGAATTTCAAAATTTTGACGAAAGAATCATAATCTTTGATCCCGAAAACCCGCAGATACAAATTTTGAATAGATTCGGATCGTATTAACAAAACTTGTCCACCATATTGGATCCGCCATCTTCAATTTACCAATTTTGACGAAAAAATCATAATCTCCGACCCCGAAAACCCCCAGGTACCAATTTTGAATAGAATATGATCATAATTACAAAACTCGTCCGCCATTTTGGAGCCACCATTGTGTTTTTTTGTCTAACAAAAATTTCATGATGCATTGAAAAACCGAACCATGTACACCTGCCAAATTTCAAATCAATCGGTCCGGTTAAAGTGGGTCAAAATTAAAATATATCAGAAGGGTGTTAACCCTCTAATGGTGACGTGGTTTACGAAACATGAGCGGTGACGTCGGTCTGAGAGACATTTGATATTTTTTTGTGATAAAAAAATATATAGAATTAAAATAGTGTCAGTCGATATGATTCTGCTCAAAGGAAACATCATTGGGAATCACATCATATTGTTGAAAGGGGTCTAGAGCTAGATTTTTGTGACACGTCAATTGGTGAAAACCCCATCTCGATATCTCTAACCGTTTCTAAGATATAGGCGAAAATTTACATTTTACCGATTTCGAAAATATGTCATAATTTTTATTTTTGGATATTTTTCTAAACGGAAAAAACTTTCTACAGGCACTTTTCAACGTAGAATGAGATACAGCTGCCAAAAAATATATCACGTATCAAAGAAAAACGCAAAATTAGAATAATAGTTATAGTCTAAGATCCGAACCTAAGTCGACCTTCACCGAGCTGATAATAGAACGAAATATATTTTATCATGAATTTAGTATATTAGAAAACATATTAAAAATGGGTTGCCTAAAAAAATCCTGGGCAGACTATTTTTAATTATTTTTCGAAAAATTATTTTTAATTAAATGTTGCAACATCAGGATAATAAAAAAATTGTGTCCTGACTGAAAGTATGAAACGTATAGAATGTGCAGCCGTTGGGGTGTCTACTATTTACCTGGGCGAACTACTGGGTTGTCAGGTAAACACAGGTATATCGATGCCAGTTACTTTCACTGGATTGGATAATTTAAAAAAATGTATATCATCATAAGCGCTGTTTAATTGCGAACACGTTGATATAGGGTTGTCTGCGAAAATTCCGGTCCGATTAGGGGTTTTTAATTTCAACGCGCGTGGAAGTGTGTGACAGAGAGATCCGAGGTAAGTATACTGTGTGATAATAAAGGACCCAACATCGCAGTCGCTTGTGATGGGACCCTGAATAGTAGAAAGTGCGCATGCTCGGTGTGTAAACTATGGAGGGTAGAGGTACCTCTACTACCCTTCATATAGTAAACAGTGCGTGTTATTTTGGAGCAACTGATATTTCAGTAGCAAAAAAAAATAATTAATTAATTACATAATAATTAAATATATTTAATATAATACTAATATATAAAAACAATATAATATCAGTATATTGCGTTATAACCATAATGATATATCTATAATCTATAATAGACAATAAAAATATCAAATACTTACTTTGAAATTTTTTTGCTCTTTCTGGAAATAGAAACAAAGTGGACCGCCAAAAATTTAAATTAAGAAATAACAAAAAAGATAGACTAGACATCTTGTATTACGATTTGAAATTTTATTAAAAAACAGTATAAATACAAAAATAATATTAATGAAAAATAAATTCTAATAAATATTTTCTATTCAATATCTGATTCATCAGAAGTATCATTTTGACTCTCGAATTCGTCTGATTCATTAGATTCTTCCTCATTTGCTTCCATTTCGACAATGTCCTGGATTTTCAAAGGAGTTTGATCTCCGATAAAACCTGTTGGTTTTAAGAAATCATCAAAATGCCAACCATAGTTTTCAGGATTTGACTTCGCACACTTTCTACTATTCAGGGTCCCATCACAAGCGACTGCGATGTTGGGTCCTTTATTATCACACAGTATACTTACCTCGGATCTCTCTGTCACACACTTCCACGCGCGTTGAAATTAAAAACCCCTAATCGGACCGGAATTTTCGCAGACAACCCTATATCAACGTGTTCGCAATTAAACAGCGCTTATGATGATATACATTTTTTAAAATTATCCAATCCAGTGAAAGTAACTGGCATCGATATACCTGTGTTTACCTGACAACCCAGTAGTTCGCCCAGGTAAATAGTAGACACCCCAACGGCTGCACATTCTATACGTTTCATACTTTCAGTCAGGACACAATTTTTTTATTATCCTGATGTTGCAACATTTAATTAAAAATAATTTTTCGAAAAATAATTAATAATAGTCTGCCCAGGATTTTTTTAGGCAACCCATTTTTAATATGTTTTCTAATATACTAAATTCATGATAAAATATATTTCGTTCTATTATCAGCTCGGTGAAGGTCGACTTAGGTTCGGATCTTCTACTATTATTTTTTCACGAAATACTTAATTCAGTTAAGTAACTATAAATCTTCAATGGTTCAATTTCAAGTAGATTCCAAATAGTGTTCGAATTGTCCACCATTTTTGTCAAGACAAAAATGGCATCTCTTCTTCTCTAAATATTTCTTATACTCCTTAACAAAATATCATGTAATTGTTGAAGACTTGGCAAAATTGTTCTGAATGCTGAGAACTGACAAGACTACGCCCACAATTCGTGCGCCGTGTTGTCACGTTTACCATGGCGTTTAACGGTTCAAATGTCCTCTAGTGTAAATTAATATGATTATAAAGTGGAAGAGTTTTTTACAAACAATTTCAATGCAAAAAGAGACACCTAATCACATCACTCCTGGCATGTTTTGAGGAACTTATAAATTCACAAATGATTTTTGTTTGTTTCGTTTTCTACTCATATAACCAAAATAGCATTTAGCGTACGGGTATGTATCATGCTAAATGATCGATTAATCATGGATTGATAATCTGATTTATTCAAAATATTAATAAACACGTTACCATGGCAACATAATATTTCAAACACACCTTCAGTCGTTTGAGTCCTGTCCAGTCAGGCCGGTCAATAGTAGGAACTGTCAACTATCATTTTGGAATTTTGTTGCAATCAGAGTTATTTCTGTCTGTATCGAAATTCTTCATTAAAAATGTATGCGAAATGTAGACGAAAGTGAAATCGAAGAGAATGATTTAGGTAATTGCATATCTCCAAGAACTCTGTGTGAAAATGAAGCTGTCATCTTTGTGGGAAATTCATTCTTTAGTATGCTAAATGACAATAAACGCAAAACACAATATCTATGTAAGCAAAATTATGCAATCAGAATATGGATACAAACCTGGAAAATCGACAACTTTGATACCTCAACAAATCGAAGAGTTTTTATCTTCTACGTCAGATGGAAACTTCTTATTCACAAATGTTAGTAAGCAAGCCATTCATGTATCCTAACCTAATCTGGCCACATCTATAACCAATATCACTTATACGTGTCTCGTTGGTTGCTTGCAGTTGCATAGTATTATGTATATGATCATGTCAAAGAGAGGAATTATGAGTTCATAGAAAAATTATACACTCACGACTCACCGGCAAAATAAACCGGCAACCAAAAAATTTGCCCAAGTTGTTCACACTATAACATTTTCAATCCTTTTCGGATTTTTGTGAAATTCAGATCAAATCGTAGATTCATGTTTCGGAATGTTAGCCTGAATATTAGTTTTCCTGAAAAGCTGATGACTTGATCATTATACAGGGAAAAACCAAAGTTACTCTATCATCCTATACTTCTCAACGCCCTGTGGCAAAATTGCGTGATTGAACATGGCTTCATTATGCTTCGGATTGAAGTGTGATCTCTTCTTAACACAAAAGTTTTTGATTCACGTCAATATATTAGTGTCTAAAGAATATACGAGTGTTTTGTATGGTGTTTTTCAACTTTTTTTACCAATAATCAGAACTTACATGAACTTTTTGATTAACAACTTCAAGGATTGATATCACATATATTTCTACCTTACTTTCTTAGCACTTACCGAAAAATGAATTACAAAAAACAAACAAGAAGCAGACCTGTTGTCAACAACGTGTATGCTCTCCTCGATATTGAATTACAGCATTCAACCGCAGTGGCATCGAATTTTTTTTATCGCTTGGAGCGCACGAAAGGAAATCCTTAAAATGTTCGTTGAAGAATTGCCTAAAATCCTCCTTGAAGGGCGAATCGTAGCTCTTGAAGAGTATCTGATAATAAACCTAGAATCTCATGACTAAGAGATTCTAGGGGAATTTCGTGAATCGATTGTCAGCTGATGCAAGACAGACTGTTTCGACTTGCCATAAGTCTCATCAGTTGCACTGGACTAGTCTTTTAGTCGACAGAATCTGACATGGATGTCGTTTCTGTAAGCACGTAGGGGTCTATATGCACGACTTAGTCGCAAGGTATGATTGATGAATCTACCTATACACCTTGCAGTTAGGCCACTAAATGGCTATGAAGGCTAGATCGTCCTTCTGCCCCCTCAGGGCTTCGACTTGTTTGATATATGGAGGTACCCTTCGTGAATCGATTGTCAGCTGGCCAGTGCAACTGATGAGACTTATGGCCTCAGGGCTTCGAGTATCTGATAAGGCTGGGCGAAGGCGAATGAGCACCTATAGGTCTCCCCTAAGATAGGTGGATAGGTTCTGATTTATTGTTATTGAAAATTTAAAGAATCTATACTATCTTGAAACACTTGTATCTTCTCTCAAAAACGAGATATTGTCCTCATTCAAGAACCGTTGTATGAAGAAGGAACAAAAGAGGATCACACTTCAATTTGAAACATGATGAAGCAGAAGGTTGGAGAATGGTTCTGAATTATTGTAAATAAAAATTTTAAAAATCCATACTCTCTTGAAACACTTGTATACACGATATGGTCGGAATTTCACCAAAATCGAACCAAAATTGGAAAAGATACAGAGCAAACAATTTGGCTAAATTATTTGTATTTTTTTTTTACTTGTTATATCTTATTATAATTTCATAATTGTATGTATAACATTATGTATATTGTTTATGTATCCCTATTATAAACAACTATGTTTCTTGGGGTAATAAAGACAATCAATTTGGTTTTAGAAACTCTTCTAGACACTCATTTTTTGAACACTCGCTCCGCTCTGCTGCGATCGTGATTAAAATTTTCGTTACTAAAAAGAACACTGGTAACATAATATACTATTATGTCTGTATGTATGACTGATGTCATGTTTCGAACCCTTTTATCAGGAAGAAGCACTCACCCCGAAACTTCCTCCGACGGGTCTCTTCAACCACTTGGGCGGTTTACTCAAATCGGCGCTTTCTGTGCCTAGGCTCGGCCTAGGCGCAGGTGCCTGAGCCTGAACGTAGCCGTCCATGCCGGGAAAACTGTCGGCTATTTTGTCTGTCGTTTGGATTTGTTGCGTCCTTCCTGCAATGAGTAAATTCCCAACATTCGAATGTTGTTTTTGTTCCTCTGTATAGTATATGAGAATTCATTAAACACATATTTTGATTTTTTTTCGTGCAATCAAATTTGAGTCCAGAAAAAAATCGTGAACATAAATAGTTTCGGCCACCATTTTCATGGCGTACTACTTAGAAAAGCCATGTATGCATAGCTAAAAATGCGAGCCGTTTTACGCAATGTAACAACGTTACAAGATTGTCAGCTATTCTGTCTGTTTTTTGAATTTGTTGTGTCCTTCCTGCAATTCAAATTATTTTGATTTTTCATCAAGAGTATTGCCAAACTCGAATTTTAATTTCTATGTATCCACCCTGTGAAAGTAACAAATCATGAAAGGTTCAAGAACTAAGACACCGAAAAAAGTGTGTCCCAACTTTTCTAGGGACAATTCAATTCATATAATTATGAAAAAAATCCATAAGCATGAGATTTTGTACGTCAGTATGGAAGCGAAAAAACTTTGAATAAGTTTTGTTGTTAGCCATCAATAGTGGTAGGGCGATTGTGGGTATACTGTATATTTTTCCCATATTATTTTCCAAGATTCCTACATGTAGCATTAATTGAGTTATTATTCGTAGTAGACATTCGGAACTTTCCATCATATCTTCTATCTCAGCAGATTTGTATAAAATTGGATCGATCATCACTTATTCTAGGAAATCATAAGCAATGATCATTACTTTCTGAACCACCCTGTATACTTCAGGTATTGACAGAAAGTATTGTCATCAGGAATGATTAAGTTCCTCACCAAGTTTCACAGGATTCCAATCATTTGATAGATATGAATAGCAGGACGGGTGGTTTCATGGAAACTAAAACATTTTGTGTATAACATGTAAGTCTGATACAAGAGATACAATTATTCAGAATCAACGTTGATATTAGTATATTAAAATTAGTCGAAAAATGTATCAATTTCCTGATGATGATGAAAGAAAAATGGCAAATTATATAGCATTACATCAGGTGGGCACTTCGAAGGCGCATTTTCATTACTATTGCTGACAACTGGAAAACTTTGAACAATGAATCTTAAACAGAGGGAACATATCTTTTGAACACAGAATTTGGAATGAAGATCAGTCGATTTCCGAAACAAGTTATCTTGAAAACGTCAAAGATGTTTAGTGGTCCTCTTGTTTCTTCAAGCACTTTAATAGGTGGGTAATTCCTAAGTCCAATTTTATTTATTCTGCGCATGACGTCACTGTGAACCTGTCACTGTCATCATTATTTGAACTTTCCAAATTTTAAAACATTCATTAGAAACGAACTGTAGATTATTTTGATTTTTGACATAATAAACTGGTAACAAAAATGCCTAATTGTGCCATTTGTGGTTGCGCAAATACAAATAGAAGCACTATCAAGGGCTTACATACATTTTTTCCACTTTTCTAAAAACGATGACTTGTCCAAGAAAAAGTTATTGAAATTCTTCAGGGTAGTTCTCATTACTGCTTTTGATAGAAATAACAGTTTCCATCAAATATTGTTCCAACAATTCATAAAAAATAATATGATGTATACAGTGTGTCCCACTTACCATGCTCACCATGGGTATCTTTTTAACAGTGAGAGATACGAGGTCGGTTAAATGACACCTAATGTGTAGTTTGTCAAGGCCAACTATAATGTGAAAAAATATTCTGATAAAATCTATTCGTTTTTGTTTTATACGCAAAAAACAGATTTTGATCATTTTCATGTCTCCTCTGTAACTTCTTTATTTATGAAAATATTCAAATAAGAATTTCACATTCTCATGGCAGTTTTTGAAAGTGATTTCGAAAACAATATAAAATTTATACCAACTCTTCTAGAATTTGAGATATTAGCACCAACTTTGGTTTTTCAAATATAGGTCATAGCTCACTATGACTTAGTTACAAATAACTTTTTTTTTCCTCTTACAAATGATACGTCGCAGTAATAATTTTGTGTTCATAACAACGGAGTTATCGTCATTTATACAATAACAAAAAATTATAACGAAACCGCCATCTTGAATTTATAAATTTTAACGAAAAAATTATGATCTCCGACCTCAAAAACCCCCAATCACCAAATCTTGTCCGCCATCTTGGAGCAGCCATTTTTTTCAATTTCAACAAAAATTCCATAACTCCGATTAACTTGAAATTTGGCATGTTTTTATAATTTCGGTGACAATACATTATGGAATTTTTGTTGAAATTAAAAAAATGGCTGCTCCAAGATGGCGGACAAGATTTGGTCCGATTCCATTCAAAATTGGTAAGTGGGGGTTTTTGAGGTCGGAGATCATGATTTTTTTGTTAAAATTCATGAATTTAAGATGGCGGCTTCCAAATAATTTTTTGTTTTTGTATAAATGACGATAACTCCGTTGTTATCAACACAAAACTATTATTGCGACATATCATCTGTAAGAGAAAAAAAAGTTATTTTTAACTAAGTCATAGTGAGCTATGACCTACATTTGAAAAACTAAAGTTGGTGCTAATATCTCAAATTCTAGAAGAGTTGGTATAAATTTCATATTGTTTTCGAAATCACTTTGAAAAACTGCCATGAGAATGTGAAATTCCTATTTGAATATTTTCATAAATAAAGAAGTTACGGAGGAGACATGAAAATGATCAAAATTTTTATTTTGCGTATAAAACAAAAAACGAATAGATTTTATCAAAATATATTCTCACATTATGGTTGGCCTTGACAAACTCCACATTTGGTGTCATTTAACCGACCTCGTATCTCTCACCGTTAAAAAGATACCCATGGTGAGCATGGTAAGTGGGACACACTGTATACCGAGATGTGACGATTTTGATAAATACACCGCCAGAGACAGAGATAAGGGAAGAAGCTGCGAAAGTTGGATTAGTCTCCGGAAATTTCAAGAAAAAAGTATGTATTGGCATATTGGTACGAAAAATGTATGGAATCTAATAAAAAAGAGAAATTAAATTTTTTTCGGAAAGTGTACTTTTCTAAAATACATTGAGGAACTAGGAAAGGCGTCTACTCTGTGGTCAGGATTTTCAATGTGGCATAGTATCACATTATAAAATGAATACTAATAAGTTACATTACTCGGATTCTTTGAATAAGTGCAGTTGTAGAAAAAGTATAGTGTGCAACATGTGGGGAAAAGCACTTTTCTCACGAGTGCGAAAGTTTGTGACACGAGCCTGAAAGGCGAGTGATGCAAACGCACGAGTTGAACTTTCCCCACTTGTTGCACAATATACTATTGTTGTAATCAAAAATTCAAGGAATAATAGTATATAGGGAATAGGGAATAGTACTTTTACTGATGGAAAAGGTGAGCCAACAAAAGAGGAAAAATGTGCATAAATAACTAATGGCTCTGAAAGGTCTTTGTATTGAGTCTTGGAATATCAATCTCATGCAAAATTTCACTTTTTGGGACTTCTTCATTACACATTCTGAAAATGGTCAGTATGAAACATTCATCATACTGGATTTAAATATGTCGTCCTACGAATCCATGATTTCTTCAACCAATAATAGTTTCAATGCACTTTTCATTTCCATATTCAATATGGTGCTCACTGCATGATTCGCTTCAATATTCCCCATTGATAAGTACTATCAAAATTTGATAATATCAAATAACACCAATTTCTAGGGAATGATTGTTGATTTATCATAGTAGACATATATAAGACAACATAATCTAAACTTTGAAGTTTTCTATTAGGCATTCCAGAACACGTGACTTTTGACAAATTTGTAATGGCCGCCGGTAGGCACACAAGAATTTTTTGTTGATTTACGTAGCAGCAGTATAATCTTTGGTAGATATATCAAATATTAATAATGGTTGTTTTGAATAAAAGTGGATATTTATTATCCTTGGACCGCTATAACAAAGATATTGCGATACGAAAGTATGTGTGCCTACAGTCGGCCATATTGATTCAGATGGTTTGACAGCATCTTGGATAGGTCAATTGATGATTATTATGTCATTTTGGTTGTATATGATTGACACACGGTTGTCATCACATCAATGGCATTCTTTATTGTTTGTCGTTTTATTCCTTCCTACATGATTCATACACCAGAGAATCACAAATAAACCGCAATGCCTATCATGAAGGTCAGTAGATTTGGGCTAAACTGAAAATTTTGAGTTAATTTTCTTACCTCCCATTACTGAATACACCGAAATGTGTCCCTCGAAGTTTGGTGAGGCTATTAGGGCGGGATTCCTTGGACACCATGCTACATCGAAACTCCACTGGTTCGTTTTTGCCACCTTTGAAATGAAAGTGGTCATTAAATTCCATGACTTTTCCCACATTACTCAATGAAACAGTTTTGTAGAGAAAAACACAAAAAATTCAAGTATTTGGGTCTGGAGTGCTGAATTCGACTTCCTCGAGTTTTCCAAGATATTCACAAAATTTCGTTAATTTTTAGTCTAGCTCCTCATCCATTCATCCTACATTCAGAAACTAGGAGAAAATTCAACCAAGAAAAAGCCAAAATGCTCAAAAAGTGGAATGAAATGTTAAATAAATACCTACTCAAAGCTCTAAGTCACTTCAACAAATATTCGTGAGGAGAAAATTGAATGATATTGTCACAATTGTGGAGATTAGACTGTTTACAGTGGATGGAACGGTGTTTGAGAGCCCTATGTTGAATCAGATTGAACATATATGGGGTGCCTTCAAGTCAAGTCAGAAGTGAAGAGCTTCTTGCAAAAGCATCGCCAAAGGGTCATAGCTGGAGATCTGAACAGATTGCTCAACCAGATAGAATTCAGACTGCGATGTCTTGAAGAATGTGCAGATCATTCAATGAAAATGATAACACCTCAAATGTGTTTGCATTCTTATAATCATGTGCAACGCCACTATCTTCCAGCGATTCAGATGGAAGGCATCTGTGGATTAAATTGTTTCTGAAAAGTCGAATATTTTGAATATGGTTTGATAATCTCACATGCACATGGAAACATTTCAAACAAATATAAGGATTTTTTTCATGATATTGAACCTACCAATTCTGTAATACAACTTACCATTTCTGAAATTGAATGGACTTTTTCTGAAATTCATCTCACCGATTCTGAAATTGAGTTTACCATTTCTGAATGTATTGCAATGAAAACAAATAGGGTATTCCTTTGAAAAAATTAAGTTACCCTAAATATCTGAAAAACTGTTGATTTGGCAACATTGCCGATATCACCATTGAATTGGGCATCATCAACAACCATCCTGTCGAAGTTTTCATACATTTTCTCTGAGCCGTTTCTGAACGAAAATGCTATGTTGTCATATTTCGAAAATCACGTTAAATACGAATCTGATATTCAGGGACTCGAGTAATTAGGAGGCGCTTAATTGATTGCAATAAAAATAAATGGGGTATTCCATTTGAAAAAATGAAGTTACTCCTAATATCTGAAAAACTGTAAACTTGGCAACATTGCCGATGCCATCATTGAATCGGACATCATCAATAATCACTCTGTAGAAAATTTCGTGAATTTTTCTCAAGCCGTTCCTGAAATATGAGACCGTTCCGATACTGTTGAAAGACACTGTATATACCGTGTGTCCCATATTTTTTTATACAGCCCATATCTCAGTTATGCTGCTTGGAAAAAAACTACACTTATATCAAACCCGTATGACTTTGAACCTATTGTGTTAAAGTCAAATTCTGTCAAACTACTTCTGAGAAACTACAGCTAACCTCAAATCTTCAAGTGACACCCTATAATTTTTTTTCTGAATTGTGATTTGCAGTCAATTCTTACTTCAAAGATGTATCAAACATGATATTTTGACAGATGTCAAACTCACAGAATAAGTGAGTTCGAACAATGTTCAAAATTCAATAACACAGAATTTATTGATAACAAAAATTATAAGAGAGGCTCAAAATGTCTACCATCATCATTCATGCATGCTTCAAATCGCCTTATCAGTTTTCTCCTACAAGATTTTTTAATCATTTCCTCTGTTACTGTATCGCAGGCGTGTACAATCGTCTCTTGTAAGTCGTTCAAGTCTATTGGTCTAGTTTCATACACGATTTTCTTCAAATACTCCCAAAGGAAAAAGTCTAACGGTGTCAGATCAGGTGAACGTGCAGGCCACCTAATAGGACCTCATATCGCACATCATACATTCACGCCCCACATAGTTCGGAAATTTGTTTCTCGCGTCCAATTTGGATTTTCACGTGACCAATAATGCATATTATATCGGTTCACAATAAGATTCATTCAATTTCGTGAAACCGAAAACACAAAATATATTCGAAGTAAATATCAGTACATCAAGGAAATGAATCTGTTATATTTCTTATCTGGTCTGGTACTACCGCGGACAATGTTTTATTTACCTATTATAGCTGTTTTGAGTAATAGCATTTGAATGGAATGATTGAGAAATGAGTAAGTGTCCTTGCTCGATGAAAATCATTCAATCCTACTCAACCAATAATTTACATAACTTCAACCTCATTGCGATATTTGTTGATATTTACGTTTTTTTCGTTGTCAAAATATTTCTCGTCTCCCTAGATTTTTTGGTATTTTCTCTCCTAGTTTCTAAAAATGAAAATATGAGTGAAAAAGGCCCTGCGTCAAAAGATTTCACTTTCATAAAACCTCCCACGGGAGCTGATATTTTATTCCTCCCGTGGGAGTTAATTGACAACTTTGTTTCAATGAGGGAGCAAATGCCTACTTTCGATTCAGTGAGTAGATTAAAGCAATTTTACCTCTGCCAACACTTCTCCGTTTTGTTGATTGGAGTTCGGATCCCAGCAGAGAATGCGGTTGTCTTTTCCACAGGAAACCAACAAATCGGAGTCCTCGGCGCACCAGGAAATAGACAGCACCCCCCTCTGGTGATTCTCGAGGGTTTTGAGGGGGGAGGTGGCGAACCTCAGGTCCCACACCTGGATGATCGGTGAATGGTCTTCCTCTAAAATTTTTTTTTATAGTAGAGTCAGGGATCATGGAATAACGTTTTTATTGGCGGTGAGTGGTTCCAGGGAAGGACTCATTGAAAAGTAGGATATATTGTATGATAGCACAGGAGTGCCACATATTCCAGAGAATCTCCACTTGTAATGCCACTATAGGTTAAATTATTTCCTGGAATCTTTTCGGTTATAATGGGCGAGTGGACTGATTATGAATTATTGGCATTTGATGGGCTTATATCACAAACAAATTTTATTTCATAATTCGATAGAACTCACCCAAACTAGCTCACCACAGCAAACCGTTTCTTGCTGTGAGCTCCCTACGTTTTATAAAAAATTATTGAAATCCCCGATTTTTCATACCTCTGAAAACGAGGCGATGATGTGACGTCAAAACCCTAATACTGAAACAAGACTATTCCAGACAGAGATGAATGATACATGATTTCTGACAGAGTGAATTAGCGCGAGATCACAGTTGAAAGAATTAATATATCAGTTGCCTCAGTCTCCGTCGGGCGTTTGGTATTTTCTTTAAACTATGGCGAGATGAGGTTTCTACGTCATAAGAGGATCCGTTTTCAGAAGGCACTATTATTTATGTCGAAAAATAAAACATTCCAGTTAATTTTTCGAATGAATTATGTCGTCAATCATTATTTATGTATAAAAGAATCATTATAAACATGGTTTGAGTTAAAAGTTCTACTAAGATATACACGCCCATTACTCGACTGTGTCGTTAGGGACCTAAATTAATTTTTGCAACACTTCTCACGCTTTTTTTATGTAAATGATGAGTCTAAATTGTTGAATTTCAGATTCAGATTTCAAACGTACCGTCATGGCCGCCATTAGGCGATACGTCGAATAAATGGTGAGCTTTTATGCCGTTTCGTTACTAGACAAATAATCTTCCATTCCCATTCACAAAGCAAGGTTGTCAAGTTACCATTTATAATCCAGTTATCAAAAAGATGTTACGAGTCCTGTCGTTAAATGAAAGATAATAGGTGGAATCCATGATATTATTGAATATTCTTGACTTTTTCGAGCAGTCAGCATGTCCAAATATTTCTTACACTCCATACTCCATAACGAAATATCATGTAAATGTTGGAGACTCGAAAACATTGTGCTAAATGCTGAGAACGGACAAGACCACGCCCACAATTCGTGCGCCGTGTTGTCATGTATACCGCTCCAAATGTCCTCTAATGTGAATAGAGCAGTTCCACTAGCGTTGAGAGAGAGAAAAAAAGGTCGTCTCCCATCTGTCCTTGTCTTCAGTGTTCCAAGGTAAAATAGGGAAAATTGTTCGTTGGCAACACTGGAAATGAGAAGAAACTGGAAAAGACCATTATAATATTCTTTTATCTTGGGATTAGTTGATAATCAATCAATCAATCAGTTTATTTGTTGAAAAAAAACGACAGTTTTTATAACAAAGAGTTTGATTTTATATAAACTATACCAAATGTTGATACCTAATTAATACAGAGAATAAAAAATAAATAAAAGAAAACAGTAAACAATGAGCCATTGAGTAAGGTTAATGCAGAAAACAAGTTACTGACACAGTATGATTTCATTCGTTCACAATAAAAGACCTCAATTATCAAAATGTTCCATGAGTGATGAAATATTGATTTTGAAGTAGGAGGGGTTATATTGTTGAGCGCATCTACGAGAAGTTGAGGGCTGGTGAGGAAAGCAAGGTTTGTTGGTCTCATTGAAGAATAAATTGGGCATTCAAATAATATATGGAGGATTGTTTCGGAACAGGCGTTATTACATATTGTACAAATTTCGTTCGGATTTATTTTGTATGAGTAGCCTTTGAAGTTGAATTTAATTATGTAATTATTGCTCACGCGAAGTTGGGCTAGTATGCGGACTATATGAAGAGGCAAGTTGAGATTTAGGTAGGGCTCGCTACCATCAGGAGTCAATGTTAGATGCATATAAAACGTTAGATAAGTAGATCCTGCTTGTAGAGCGAGGTCTTCTTGTATTAGTTTATTCTCGAATGTTTGGAGAAGTGAATTTCTTTTTCTCTTAAGGAGAGCCCCATCAATTGGTCCCCACTCTTCAGTGTACCCAGCATAGATAAGATATTCTCTCAATTGGCTCTTTCAGTTATATTTCGGTTCGTTGTTATCCTCTAATGATATGAGGCGTAGTAAAGCTATTTTTTTGGCAAATGATTGTTATTCATTTGAAATATTTTAATGAGCCAATTGGGACTATTCTTAAATATGCAGTAGGATATCTTCACTCTTCCTGTTTCCAGCCTCACAGCAAAATCCGCTGTATTTTTTGGAAGTAAAAGAATTATTTTCAAAAAAGTTATCTGAATTCGTTCGAGAATATCAACGTAACGCAAACCCCATACTGGCAGACAATTAGTTACTATACTAGTTATATGGGCGTCAAATAAATATTTTCGTGAGGCCCATAAGTTCATTTTTGCTCTCGACATTATTGGGGTAATTGATCCACTGGCCTGTTTGGCTTTGTCTGATGTACTGGTGGCCATTTTGCGGTACACAAGGAAGATGAGAAGGTTACACTGAGATACGTGAAATGATTTATTACCTCAATTTTTTCATTATTTATGCAAAAGTTATATTCATTGGTCTTCTTGCAGCTCCTAGCAAAAACAATTTTTTTTTGTATTTATGGTGAGTCGGTTTTGAGCGACATATTCTTCTAAACATTTGAGTTTTCTTTGGAGATCAACCTCCCTGTCAGAAATGATAGCGTCAGCATATGACTGCATTATTATATCTTTTTCGTTATCTATGTTTATGCCCCTTACCACTGTTAATAAAATAACTCTCAATATCTGATAAAAATAAGGAAGAAAGTAATGGACTCAGAGTTTCTCCCTGGTAATTTCAATTGGTTGTGTCATGTTGTTCGAGCCCATTACTCTCATGGTTGCTTTTTCGTATATACTTTTTGCAATAGAGATTATTCTGACACTCATACCCAACTCATACAATTTTTTCCACAGTAGCTCGTGGTTTAGCGAGTCGAAGGCTCTCTCAAAGTCTACAAAAGCAACAAATATTTTACGCTTTTTGAGTCTCAGGTGTAAAAACATTGTAACCTCTCGTCTTCCTGAAACCCGATTGTGATTCGGGTAGTATCTTATTGTTCACTTCAGCCCAGTCAGAAAGTCTTATCTTCAAGATATGTAAGAAAATGTTTTCTAAACAGTTTATGAGAGCAATGCCGCGACGGCAGCAACAACATCGCAGGAGAAAGCAAATATTTTTGCAGAGATGTTCGCAGCAAACTCTACTTTAGATTCCCAAGGAAAACTGCCGCCAGACATTCCACCCGTTGAGAGTCGAATGCCCGAAATCGTCTTCCGTCAACGCACTATCAGACGAATTTTGCTTGGTCTCAAAACGAATAAGGCTAACGGTCCTGATGGAATTCCACCCATTATCCTCAAAAAATGTGCACCAGAATTAACACCGATTCTCTGCAAGTTGTTTACCATCTCGTACAGATCGGGTATTTTCCCATCATGCTGGAAGACAGCTAGAGTCCAACCAATCCCCAAAAAAGGGAAAAAGAACCTGCCCAACAACTACACGCCAATTGCCCTGTTATCAGTAATCTCCAAAGTGATGGAGAATGCCATCAATATTGAGCTTATCAAATATCTTGAGAGCTCAGGAATCATCAATGATAGACAATACGGCTTTCGCCACCGAAGATTTACTGGAGATCTACTTGCCTACGTCACCCATTTATGGCAATCTTCAATAGAAAAACACGGGGAATCTCTAGCTGTCGCGTTGGACATATCGAAAGCATTCGACCGTGTTTGGCACGAAGGACTCCTCCACAAACTACCATCATACGGCTTACCACCTCAGCTATGCCATCTCTTATCGAGTTTTCTTTCAGGCAGATCGCTTCACGTGGTGGTGGACGGTGTATCGTCTGATACCATTGGCATCAATTCCGGCGTTCCACAAGGATCAATGTTGGCACCAACATTTTTCCTGTTCCATATCAATGATCTGTTGGGAGTAACAACTTGCCCCATCCACAGCTTTGCAGATGATAGTACCCTCCATACTGCGTTCTCTTCCAGAATTCCCATTTCTTCCCAGGAAACTAAGAACTCACGGCGCAGGCCAATGCTGTCAATGAAGATCTTGCTGAAATCACAGCCTGGGGAACAAACAACCTAGTTGAATTCAACGCCACCAAAACTCAAGCCTGCGTTTTCTCTAGAAAGGCGGAACTCAGTATGCCCGATATTGTAATGTCTGGCTCCACCATTCCCACCAAGTCCACCATATCTATGCTCGGTATTTCCATCAGCAACACTCTTTCATGGGATAATCATGTCAGATCCATCGCAAAAGCTGCTTCACAAAAACTCGGATTCTTGTTCCATGCGAAAAGCTACTTTACACCTCAGCAGCTTCTCATGATCTACAAAGCGCAGATACGGCCTGTTCTAGAATACTGTTCCCACAAATGGGGTTCAGCACCAAAACATACGCTGATGCTCTTAGATTCTATCCAGAGAAGAACCATTCGCCTGGTGGGTGACACCACACTCACTCACTCTTTGACATCATTGGAACACCGTAGAAAGGTCGGCGGCCTTTCACTTTTCTATCGATACTTCCACGGGAAATGTTCTTCGGAAATTTCTGCTATCATCCCTTCACTAGCAATACCAATCAGACGAACTAGACAAGCCCAGTCAGCACATCCTTGTCAACCTCGAAAGATGTCGAACAGCACTTTATCAAGACTCCTTCATCCATAGAACGACTAGGCTCTGGAATTCATTGCCTGTGGAAGTATTCCCAACAACATATAATCTCCAAAAGTTCAAAAAAAATTCCAATACCTACCTCCTGTCCCTATCCTCCCTAGGAACGCACGATGTTCTTTGAACATTATAGGGATTCCCTTTCGTGCGCTCCAAGCGATGAAAAAAAAAATTATTGAGATC